ATGCGAGAAAGAGTGAATTATGAATAGTTAGCATTTCGTTGATGTTGATATTTCGTCGAATTCTCAACTTCAACCAAGTCTCAACGTTTCAACCTAATCTCAATGTTGATACAACATTGTTGTGCCGAATGGGGAGCATCCGTCGTCCCGAAACAGAGGAACCCCAACGCCCCCAACTGATAATTGATGGAGAAAACGACGGTTGAAGTGAGAGAAGCGAGACGGGATGCCTCGTGTTCCCCCACCGTCGAACTCCCCCTCGTGAATCCTCCGTGGATGAAGACGAGAACGGGCACCTTCGTCGATCTCGTCCACACGTTCTCTCCGATCCAGACATTCAAATAAAGGCAGTCTTCTTTGGACTCCGTCGTCGGGTTCGGAGCCTGCTCGCCGCTGAACCCTGATCGTCAATTCGGATCGAGAATTCAAAATTCACTCTTTCTCGCATCGGTGGCAATCGCACGAAGTCATCATCGCGTAGATTTACGGACGGCATGCGGTTCCTCTTTGCTCGCCCCTGCGTTCGTATTCGTATTCGTATTCTACTCCAGTGTTTCCCAAACGGTGTGCCGCCAGTAAGGCTTAGGTGTGCCGTGAGATTTGAGAGTTGACAAAAAAAACTAAAAACTAAAACTAAAAAACTTAAAAACAAGAGGGAACGCCATCTCTCAGTGGAAAACGAGCTGAGAGTTGGACTATCACGCCTCGTGTCGTGTCAAACTGCCGTGTTCAGCGAAGCAAGCTTTCAAAAGTTTCCCATTGAAAGTGAGTAAATAGCTGGGTGTGCCGTGGAAAGTTCAAGTGTCCTTATGTGTGCCGCAAATAAAAAAAGATTGGGAACCACTGTTCTACTCGACGGGCCAAAAAAAGGACTCACACCCGATCGCATCTTCGGAATACGAGACTTACATCTTCCGAATTTTGCATCATCATGACAAGTGACATGCATCGAGCAACTGCAAAAAATCAGTCTCTTCTCACTCCGTCAAGTGGCTACCAATGGCAAGCCTACATCATAGACTATGACATGATATGAGCCTCGCTTTTGATCGATATTCCTCCCGTTTCATCTTCTTTTGACTCGATTAGATAATTGAAATTCAAGATTTTCTTGATGGTCTTGATGCAAAGCTCGTATGAATGGAATGTTCCTCCGTCCCCGGGGAACAACACGATTGAAAAGTGAGTCTCATCCAACTTCCTCAAATTCAATTTAGTGTGGAAAAGTTTCCTGTCTTTTTTTTTAATCGCAGGTGCTGAGATTAAAACACCGGATGCCCCAAGAACATTTTGATAGGGCTGCAAATGAATTCAATTTCCTGTCGATCCCTAGTATCGACATGAAATTTAATCGGGAAACCTTATTCGACTTACGTAAGTTATTTCATGGAAGTTCAAATGAAATTTAAGACCCAAAGAAAGAATCTTAATTAGCAATTTGATCGAGATCGTGTTTGGTTATAGATCCTAATTGGTTCCTCCTAACAGAGGTTTTCTCGCGCATGATTCCACTCGCACTGTCCGATCCAGCCGAGAAAGCAGGCCCGAACAGATCTAAGAAGTCAAGAGACACTTGGGATTCTCGGCGCTGATGAGCAATCCTATGCGGTGCGCATGCGCAGCCAAGTTAAAGTTTCACAAATTGTCTTGCACTGGATTGGCCATTCCTTTTCGAGTTCTTGCTGCAGTGGGGGACTTTCTGGCCCTCCACAGCACTCAAGGCATCATATGGGTGCCTTGCCCTATTCAGAAGATTTCCAACAAATCTGAATCGTGTTGAATATCCTCTATTTCCAGCTTTTGACGTAAAAGTGTCGCGGTTTGAAAAGCCCGGAGAAGTAATCGCAGTCGATTTGCGTCGCAATACATGACAAAACTCGCGGGAAGGGATTTTCTTTCCATTATTTCCCGTCGATTGCCACTTGGAATATCCGTCGTCTGTATGCCCGTGTGGACAACGATTTCAGACTTTCTCAGGGCCTCGTTTATCCCCAGCTGACTTCGATCCCACTTTTTTTTTGCCTCCATATTAATCATTTACCGAATTCTCCGGGTCACTTTACGAACGATCTCAGGAGTTTGTACGTAATTCTGTTTTCATATATAGCCGATCAATGCAAGCGGGATACGTGGAAATGTTGCTGGTGTCGCACTGACGCAGTCGCATTTTTACCACACAAAACGGTTGACCTTTTGCAACGGGAGAAAATCCTGCAGTGCAAATGAGCAAAGGTGCGCTCTGAGACTAGCTCCTCTCACCCCTGCAAATCTCCTTTTCTCACCCCTGGAACTTACATGAGTTTCCAACGATGCTTATGCGTTTCGCCGTAATCGTCATAATTGCAGATTAAATGTTCCCTCGAAACCTCAGAAAAGGCCTCTGCCGGAATCAATATTCACATAACGTCTCACCTTTCTGTCGAGCTCTGAAATTTCAATTCTGGACAATCTCCGTCGGAGAGATTCAGCGACGTAGCGTCGGGTGGGGGTGGGGGGACAGGTGACCCCCCCACTTTTCTATCCTCACTACGCGCATGGGGAGACTAATTCCTGTCCAGTTCTGAAAGACTGGAACCAGGCGTTTCGATATCGTAAACGCTTACTGCGAGAGGCTGGTTGAATCGAAGAACGTGTTGGAATTGCGTCGTGAGAATATACGTTCGAGTAGATCTGTTGGTTGATGCGTCACGACTTCGCGTGTCGCAGTTTCGGCCTGCGAGAAATCGTTCTTTCGAAGGAGACAGAAATCCAGCGACGCCGAAAGGTCAGATGGATTTATTGACGGATGCGGTACGGGATTAGGAACCGTGGACGAGCCTGTCGATCATCTTGCGGATCCCCTCGATCTGCTCCCCCGGCTTCTCGGCTGGAGAGGAAAAGGAAAAACCTGGAATTCCAAGTGCAAAGAAGTGCAAAGAAGGGAATCGGAGAGACGAAGCGAGACGCGTACCGTATCGGTTGTCCGTGTAGCTCCACCAGTCCCAGCAGGCCTGGGGATTCGTGGGGAAGAAGAGGCTGGAGATGGTCTGAGGGAACAGCATCACGATGTCGTTCAGTTCTCCGACTTCGAGGTATCCCGTCTTCGTGGCGTACACGTCTCCGACCAGAGCTCTGCAACGACAAAAAGTCTCAGTCGGAATGAGAATGAGAATCACCCCGGAAAGTAGGTGTCTCTCGCTCGCTCTCGATGCCGCCCGCGACCCACTTCCGTACGCAAAGAGAGAAACGTTTCGAAATTTTCGTGAAAAATGAAATTCCTCGGAAGCCAGGGAAACCCCTTTCCCACAATAGATGGGCATATCCCCCATTCATAGTGGCGCCCGTCGTTGCTTTTCTTTCTGTCAAGTGGTTCTTTCGGTGCTTAAAAGTTGTGCCCATCTCAAAACATCAAGATGGCATCTATGGGGAAAATATTGCACGTCTGAAACGAAAAAGGTAAACATTTGGAAGGAATGCAACTCCTTAACCAGAATGATAGGCCCATCGGTGGAACGGGTAATGATTCCCATCCAGGCGTTAGGCCTATGTAATTTTGGTTAAAAGGAGGCGTCATGCAATTATTACCTGATGAAGACAGAAAAACAAGTTTTACGGAAATCCATGGAATACTTTTCGACACAGGTAGGCAGGCAGGCCGACAGCAGCAGACGCAGAGCATCGGACTGACAAGCACCCTTGCACCCATTCACGCCTTGATTTTTCAATTTTCATCTTTTAAAGTTTACACGACACACCTCGATTATAACAACATAAAATTTGCATAGTGTGAATCATTATCCAGATAGGCTATGCTTACTATATAAAATTTTATTTGGCCGAGGAGGTTCACTCCTTCTAAAGATTAAGAGTGGATTTTTGAACAGAGCACTATCCGATAATACAGTTTTATATCAGAGAAAATGCATGATAAATCCGGTAAATAAAGCTGCATTATCGGATAGTACTCAGTTAAAAAATTCACCCATACCTTTTTTCATGCACCAAAAGGTGCCATATGGACCTTCCCGACAAGTACAACTTCGAAGGATCATTTGTCAGAAAGAAAAGCTATCGTAAATGTAAACGAGTGAGATGTCTCGCTCCGTCGTGGGATGTGGGTTCCGATCAATTTCATTATTCGAGTAAATTCTGCACACAAAAAAAATGAGCCCAATCAACCCTCGTCCCTCCACGCTTCGTTCAGCACGAAACGTGGAGGGACTTTTTCGAACTCGAGGGAATCCGACTCGAGCCGCGTGTGAACCGCACTGGCGAAGGAACAGCGACCGAACTCGTTCTGAAGGCAGCCGTGCAGGGGGATGTGAAGCTTGCAGAGGTTCCCTCCCTCCTGGCAGCCGGACGGAATGTAAATGAAGCCCGTCTCCGCGAGGCTGGCGTCGTCGGGGGCCCCGCCGAAGAACTCCGCCTGGTCGAACGTCGTCCACTCGCCCAGGAGATCCACCAACCCTGGGGACGAATTTCCTCATCGAAAAATCGGAACGTTTCTCGACTCTCGACGCTTTGCAGGAGACGACACGCTTGCCTTGAGGTTTCACGAGGCCGCCACCGTATAGAGCGTTGAGAGACTCGAAAGCGCCGTGGTAATCACAGTCGTTGATGAAATCCGGACCGGTGCTACTGCAGCTTATTCCGTAATCTTCCGTCGGCTGAAATGCAACAGCAAAAGCCAAAGTAATTCTGTAAATTCTTTTATATCTATCTCACGGGAGCCATGCGACGAAATCTAATGGTGTGGGGCGAAGAAAAGACAAAACCGAACCGAAACTACAACTAAACTGCAAATGAACCGAGCTCATTCAAAAAGTGGGTTCCCTTCCATTGGCTTTCCCCAATGACCCCGACGACTTCGCGTTCCTCTTCTCGAGCTGATTTTCTCAACGTCTCGCTAGGAGTTCTCTTCCCCGAGAAAACTTGCTTCGAACTTTGAAGAGTCTTTTTAGGCCAACTTCATAGGTCTAAATCTCACGTCTTCGTCTCGTGACTCGAATGCTTGGTATGGCGCCCGTGCTTTTTTTCGGGTAAATATAAAAAAAAATGACGTGGAGGCTTAGGAGACGCAAAAGAAATTCTCGAAACCTAAGACTCCAGCCACCAAGTTTCATGTTATACTCGAAAAAAAATCGATAAAAATCTATCAACTGATGGTGGCCTTGGGGCAACACCGTCCAGTTGACGAGACGACCAGGAAGTGATAAGAGCTCATCCCATAGAGGAAGCCGGACCTTGAAGATGAGCCAGAAGGCGAGGGACCGCTTCTTGCTTCAGCGCTAGCATGAGTCTAGCGAGTCCCCGATCGCCTTCAAGAAGACAACCGAATCACCACCAGATAGATCGCATACAAGTTGGACAACTCATCCGATACCGTTCACCACATCTACACTGAAAAACTGTACGAGAAGTTGGCAAAGAAGTGATTGCGTCACTACCTGACAGAAGATCGACGCCAATCACCAATAAGATAGCCTCTGCAGCACGTCTTGCCATACAGTATTTTGCAGTATTTTTCCGTATTTTCGTGTTTTCCATCGACAGCGGTGGTTTACGATGAAACCTAGGCTCCTGGGAGCCAGAGCTAAAGAGACAGAGATCGGAGTGGTGATCACCAGGATCACATCGACCGAAGGAGGTCATCCGCAAGCAAAGCCACCTCAAGGTCATGCACAACGCATTTTTCGACCTGCTCATGTGTCCTGCATTATCAGGCGTTGTCATGGACCAAATTGTGAATGGTGATTACTTCTTGGATGCCTTGATGTCCAAGATTTGCCGAGCGACCAGACAAGCAACCAGAAATAGAATGAAAGGGAGCCCTCCTTATGCAGGACAGCGCTGCTCCAAACCGGAGAAGTTCTGGACGCCGTCGAACATTGGGCCTGGGAGACACTGGCTCATCAAGCTTATTCGCTTGATCCCTTACCTTGTGACTTTTTCGCCTTCTCCAAGGTAAAAGAAAAGCAACACCGACATCGATTTGAGGACGAAGAAGGCATCATCGATGACTCTTGTCACTTCGCACTGCAACAAAGGCAAGTGTCCAACCTAGGATCGAAGACATGGTGCAAAGGCGGCAAAAGTATGGCGAGCTCGTGATTCGTCTGTGGAATCCTAATTGGTGTATCTTAATCATGAATTAAACGGATTCGAAATACGTTACTATGTTCTCGATATCTGTACTAATACAGGGTATTTTTTGGACAACCCTTGTATGATAGAGGTGGCAAATTTCCGTATTCTGTGGGATAGATTCGATGTTCCCGCAGTATATGTTCCATATCCCAACGGTAAAATGTACTGGCCCGCTCCGTACTCTATGCATCACTTTCCACCTGAATCGTTCGCAGTCAGCTTCAACTCATTCTGGGTCGCCCTTCATTCCCAATAGCTTATACTGAAGCTTGCGTCCTACGCGAGCGAAAGAATGAAGTGGAAAGACTCAAAGGTGTCTGTGGGATTCCCTGAGGGTCCATGACGCTTGCTGTGCCGTAGTTGTTTTCCATCGCGCAATACATTTACCAGAAACCCGAGATGAAAACTCCAGGAATTCCACGGGAGTCAACAGAGAAGAGCCACCACGATCCCAACTGGTATGGCTTCCAATTGCAGCCCGTATGCCTTTGCTTGTTAAGACCATTTCCAGTTCCATTTCTTACCCGTGTCCAGGACCCGCTCCTACCATGGCGAGTCTCGCCATGGATTGAGTCGACCCAGTGACCTTAGCTGCCGGAGCAGAGGCAGAGGGATCCTAGCAGTCTCCGCTCCACCATCCCATACTTACCACGTTCGCAAAACCTACCTGGACGATGCGAAAAATGCGGACCTACGACGCTTTCATTTCCTTCGTCTGGACGAGAACGGTGAGATGCCTTTATTCAACCTTCTTTTTAATCTCTACACATTCATACCATATTTTTTGGTTACACGCTGACGTTGCGGCAGAGGTGTCTCTCTTGGATCTTTTCTTGCTCCTTCATGTATTTACACCCGAAGAAGAAGAAAGACTCTGAGTGCGTATTTCTTAACTCGAATTTAATGCATTGGATCGGTTGTTCAACACAAGATTCCGTTCTTTCTGGCTTCGGCTTAAAACTTCTCATATCTGTCTCTCTCGAATTTGAGCAATAATAAGATGGGGTGAGTGTATATTATTCACTCACTTATATTCAGACTGAAAATTCACTTTTTTCAAATTGATTCATTTTTTGAAGACGTCCGATCTGAGCTGACAAAACTTCTTTAAATGAATAAGTTGCACAGGTTTCAAATATATTGGGCTTGAGCGACCATGTAGCTCTGGAGCTACCTACACATCACAGGTGTATCCCAAAGATATCCCCTTGAGACAAGTGCGATGTCCCAGAGACAAGGAGCAGGCACAGGCGCCGACTTCTAAAAAATATTGGGGGGGGGGGGGCAAGGTCCAAATGGTCTTTAAGTAACATGGTTTCACTCATTCAAGGATTTATTGGAAGAATGCATATTTTGCATTGATAATATTCTGTATATATTTATTAGACCTGGCACAGACTTCTAGTACAAATAATTATTGAGTCTTCTCATGCCGCTGAAACACCTTTCACACGTACAGGAAGTTGCAGGAATGGTGCAGAAAATTCTGACCATTTTCTAAACCTCAATGAGAACTTCCCTCACATTTCGATCTTCCTTGAGAAAGGAAGTGACATCACCAATGGACGTGATGGATACTTTGCGGTGCTGGTATATGTCCCCGAGCATTTTCAAGTGCAATGTTAGATGGTTTAAATTCAGGTCCCTCGTTAGGGCGGATTCCTGCACAGAAGCATTCTTGCCAGAAAGTATACCTAGAATGTCACTTTCCAGTTTCTGAACTAGATGAAATTCCAAAATTTCTGCAAAATAGTGCACTGAAATCATTTGTCCAGGTAGAATGATTAATATGAACGGATAAGACGCAACGCGTGAGGAAAGGAAGGAGAGAGGGCCGATTTCTCTCCCCTCTCCCGTATTGAACGCATGCGCCTCAGGAGAATCCCCTTCAGCTACCTGTCCGCTCCAGGCTATCCCCCCCTCTCTACCAACTCCCTTTGACCTCCTCGCAGAGATGCAACCAAGCCGGAGAAGAGATGATTCTTACCACCCTTGGTGGAAGAAAAAGTAAAATAAATTTTAAAAGGGGCATTACTGTGTACTGTATGTTCGAAGAGCCATACTCAAGAAGTATTTTGGCCAATCTTGGGGGGGGGGGGGACATGCGCCCCCTTGCCCCCCTGGGTTCGGCGCCTATGGGAGCAGGGACATCTTAGGGATATCAAAATGTCTGGGCCCAATGACATCCCAAGGATGTCCCTTTATTGAAGAAAGAGCAGATCCCAGAGATGACTCAGGGATATCCCCTTTGGGACAAGTCCTGGACATTACTTGTGGGGACATCTCAGGGATATCAAAATGTCTGGGCCTAAAGACATCTCAAGGATGCCTCTTTCTTGCAGTACAAGTACAGGGTGTTTGAAAAATCACTGTGCAGTAGAATTCGTTTATTTTGTTGCATGTATTTAGTATTGTACTGGGAATCACATATGATGCATTATCAAAGACATGAATTTCCGCATAATACTTCATCAAATATTAGCACCATCCCCGATTCACATACGTTATTGTCTGTAATTCCTAGTGGCAGTGAGGCCTCCTACGTCATGTCGTGAATTCTACTGCGCAGTGACTTTTTGAACACTCTGTATATCCGAAGGATGTCCCAGAGATATCCCCTTGGGACAAGTGGGAAGTCCCAGGTAGTACTTGCAAGTCAAGGGGTATCCCAAGACTTTAATCACGAACCAGCTTGTGGTCTCCCGCGAGACTCGATCGTGAATGGTATCAGTGAAGTGAACTCACGAATCCGTGGCCGGCGGCAAGATTAAACATCGTTTCGATCCTGTCCGGGCTCATGAATGCCGAGTAGAACTCCACGATGACCTCCGACACGCCTGCAGAAGGCAACGATCTCGTAACTCTGGAAGCGAACTTCCGCAGATTAATGAGAAAGGGCGTACCCGGGTTGACGACGGGATCTTCCGTGCCGTGGAAGACGTAGACGCGATCGTCGGCCAGGTTGCTCAAGGGATCGATGGTTCCGTCGGCTTGGAAGTCGATGGCGTCTTGAACCATGTCGTCGNCACAGGTGGCGCCTGGATGTCAAATCCAGTTAAGCGCCTCATGGTTACCCTCGATAAGTGTCAGGATTATTCCATATCCGAGAATTTTGGCTGAGAATAGACTGTACTTACCCGGGAGAGAATTAAAACCAAGTCAGGCCATGCTTTGTTCATCCCGCAGCACATAAAATCATTCATTCATTTACATGATCATAAAAAAGGTATTTTTTTCCCCAAAACTCCTCGCGGGCCGCACAAAAGCCCTTGGAGGGCCGCACTTTGGGCACCCCTGGTATACACAGACAAACACCTCTGAAAATTCATTAATTTCAAATTGATTCATGTTTTGAAGACGTCCGATGTTTGCTTTATAGAGCGTCTTTTCCTGATAGAGTTTGCTGATAGAGCGTCTATCAATTACTATATTGGACTTGGACGACCATGTAGCTCTGGCACTATGTGAACGGACATTCAAGCGACACGGACAAGGACATTGATACCTTTTTTGTTTTTTGTTTTGCTTTTGCATTGGAGATATTTGTACCAGTGTCTGATGGTTCAGGCTTCACTGTCTATATGTGAATGTTGGACTAGAAGTGATAAATTCCATCGGGCAGGGATATATGAGGGGAGTATGCAGTTACCATAATGGTACCAAGTCCTGGTGTAAACCTATACCTCCCACCTTTCTTTTTTTATTAGCATCCCATTTGCCTTGTAGCCTGGGCGGGTATTACCTGTGACGACCTTTACTCAATAGATATTAATTGGCTAGTAATATTATTACTAGGGCTGTACCGATGGCCACATTTGGCCGGTGGGCCGATGGCTGATTTTTCCTAATAACTATCGGCCGGTTCCGATTGAAGAAGATCTCGCCAATAAATTCAAATATTCCTAATTGGAAGCCATGTGATACTTATCAGTAGGCTTCCTTGAAACGATAGAGACCACTTTTGGTCCTGTCCAGCCTGTCTGCCTCTCTATAAGACTGTCGATGGTTAGCTTGTTACCCATTTCTGTTGTTGAGAGCATTTAGTGGTAAATCCCTTGCCAAAGCATAACGTAAATGGAGATGCAATGAATTCCCATTCTTTACCTCTACTTTCCACTGCAGATTCCTATAATCCAGCTGCAATATAACCCGATAGATATTTTTATCTTTGAGAAGCTGGCAGGAATGGCTTTCAGTGAGACAGGAGGGCCGGCGCCTAGCCGCTGTTCACACCCTCCCGTAATTTTATTTTTCACTTCGCCCGTCATCGCAGTGGCACCGGCGTCATAGGCCGATGGCCGTGCAACACTGGAGGCCGAAACCAGTGGTATCCGATACATCGGTACAGCCCTAATTATTACTATATTATTGCAACAGATATAACAAATAACTACAGCTATCAATTGCCCATAAAAATTTAAAGACATTTATTTATGACTGTCAGAGTCCGGGACTCATCTTGGATCCTGAATTGAAACTGCGTGGTAGCACTTATGATACGAGTTTTAAGCTTTCGTGTCCACCTTTGACCTTGAAACCATTCAACCTTGTTTTTTTAGCTTTGTGACAAAATAATAGCCCTGAAAATACTGGAAACCATAAAGGAACTTGTCAGGGAAGACAAAGAAATGTAATGTTTACGTAAAACGGATCAGCAGAAAAAGTAATCTCGTGTTCTACCAATTTAAGAAGAGCTTTCGTTTTTAACATGTCGAAGACTGTTCCATTTTGCTTTGGATTCCTACATCACCTGACAGCCATGAAAGAGCTGCATGCAGTACATTTAACATTTACATTATTAGTTTAGATCAGGAATAATAAGGCTATACATTAAGTAGTCATTACTCCATGAGGGCTATGCATGCAGGGATAATCTCCAGTTTTCGACTGGAGTACTGGTCGTCCATTACGGCTGCAAAACGCCGTTCTTCTACGTCAAATGTGGTAGAAATTATAGGCTTCAAGGTGAAAGTTCCCATGTTGTGTTTGCCCTAACCCCACGGTAATGAGAGGTAGAATCGAAACTAGCACGATGAGATGCCACAGAGTTAGGTAAGCGAAATCCTATTTAAAAAAAGGCAAACAGCTTCTTTCCACTCCCTCATTCCTTTTCAATCTCTCTACTTGATGATGATAGGGGGATATGACATCGTTGCAACAAGGTAGGAGAATTACCGCGCAAAGGTTTACATACATTGAAGTATTCACTTCCCGATAGAGTTTGGAATCCATACTTGCATCTTTTCTGGGAGTGCGATGTCCTGACATGATATAGACTGGGAAACATGCGAGGTTCGCGATCGAAAACTATTCATGTTAGATGGAATAGACACGTCTTCCGTGGAACATCTGCAACCCCAGCACGACTGAGTCAAGGGTTATCCGAAGACTTTAATCACGAACCAACTTATGGTCTCCCGCGAGACTCGGCCGTGAATGGTATCGGTGAAGTGAACTCACGAATCCGTGGCCGGCGGCAAGATTAAACATCGTTTCGATCCTGTCCGGGCTCATGAATGCCGAGTAGAACTCCACGATGACCTCCGACACGCCTGCAGAAGGCAACGATCTCGTAACTCTGGAAGCGAACTTCCGCAGATTAATGAGAAAGGGCGTACCCGGGTTGACGACGGGATCTTCCGTGCCGTGGAAGACGTAAACGCGATCGTCGGCCAGGTTGCTCAAAGGATCGATGGTTCCGTCGGCTTGGAAGTCGATGGCGTCTTGAACCATGTCGTCGACGTCCAACAGCAAAGGCAGGAGCGCGCAAGTCATCGCCAACAGTTCGCTTCCCCTCGCGCAGTAGTACGGCACTGCGAAGAAATCGAGCGAGGAAATTCCTGGGGATTCGGGTGGGACGAAACGTACCGTTACGAAGAGAACGACTCGAGACTCACCGCCCGCGAAGGCGGCCGCCCCGCTGATCTTGGACGAGAGAGCAACGTGCAGTTGAATGGCCATAAAATTCCTGGGGATTCGGGTGGGACGAAACGTACCGTTACGAAGAGAACGACTGGAGACTCACCGCCGGCGAAGGAGGCCGCCCCGCTGATCTTGGACGAGAGAGCAACGTGCAGTTGAATGGCCATTGCCCCTCCGGAGGAGATGCCCGACGTCGTCACTCCGTCGGGGTCGATATTCAGCTGCTCTGTACAAAAGGAAAACGAAGGGAGAAAGATGAACTGGGATTTCCCATCGAGACGTTGAGAGTGCAGAACGCGACTCACGGAGGTTAATGGCATCTCCCACACACACGTAGAAGCACAAGACCAACACGAGAAGCATCTTCTATCTAGCTGCTACACGGATTTCCTCGAAACGGATCTTCCCTTCTGTGCTGGAATCGGTACCGTAAACGCGTGCGAGCCAAATGGCACGTCGGTGCCGACGTGGCACCTAGGGTATATATGATATGATTAGAGAAAAGTCCCTAGGGAACAGAAATCTGTTGCCTACATCCGTCATCCATGAGACTCTGAGGAAATTTGCTCGGGGTTCGTAAATAGACTAAGGAAGAAAACAATCTCTTTTTTGACCCTCCATGGAGCCTCTGCGTCGCAGAGGGAAGGTCAGAGGTCAACATTTTGGCGGGAGTCCATGATTTCGAGTGGAACGCGGAGGAGAAGACATGCAGTTGCGATCAAACGCAATGACTGGAGAGATAGCGTGACCGAAGCCACGAAGCTGCGTTTCGGGAACGGCACGTACGGGTCCGGTGGAGTCGGACCGTGATACTTACCGTCGAGGTGAGACCAAATTCCTCATCGTGAGCCACTCGTCTAGGCTCGAGGTTCTCACTGTCGCGAGTTGCCAAGGAATTTCTCAAATACGGTTGGGTCGTGAGCTACCATCGGTTTCCTTTGGCCTCGTTCAGCCCTTACGTCCCGTTAGTCTTTCGGTCGTAGACCGGTCGACGAGGTCTAGTCGGCCAACGCCGTCATCCGAGCACGAGTTTGGTAGATTTTAGGAGAAAAATAAAACTAGTCGGATTTTCGTTCAAATTTTCTTGACCCGTTTTATCTATCTGATTGGAAAGAAAGTTCTCGGAATTTCATGAACAATTATTACAACCCAGTTTATTTAAAAGCAAAATCATCTCAATCATGAATGTAATCACCATTGGCCTCTATCACTTCACGCCAACGTTTATGCAAACTATGGATGCCATTCCAATAGAACTCTGGCGGCTGCGCTACGAAAA